AGCATTACTGAATAATCAGATGAGGGACAGTTTGCTATGTCTACTAGGTAGCTAAAGTCTGATCCTCAGAGCCTATGGTTTGGACGGTCAACGACGCTTGAATTGCCTGGTTTTTCCTCCCTTTTATCTGTTGATAGGAGACAAAAAGCCAAGGCTTAACGATGAAGATACTAACAGCAGTTGAGTAAGTCATGAGCAAACCATGTAGAAACAAATCCAGGTTGTCTGATGCTGCGGGTGAATCGGGTTGCAGCGATCGGCATTGGGGTGGCGAAGTAGCAAGGGAGAGCAGCAACAACAGGGCTTTCTGAGTTTACTTTCCATTCAGGTAAAGTGGTAATTATAGTAAATAGGTGAATGAAGCCTGGATTTTCCAGGATGAAGTCATTCCTACATTACATGACTATGGGTCCAAGGCCCTGAAAGTAAGTTTAAAACACTCCCAACCCAATGCTTCCAGCAATAAGCCACTCGTTTAGGGGTTAACACATTAACCACAGGCCTTCCCAAGTAGAAAAAGAAAGAGAGATGTGTTTTACATCCATTCCATCAGCAAACATGTCCTCAACCCCACAGCCCCAAGCCAGTGGTGAAATAGTCTCCACTTCCATATCTTCTCAAGTTCTATAGGGACATTTGTGACTTCTTGTATTTCTTCTTCTTTTCATGGAGCCCATGAATATGAGTTGAAACCAGAGCTTTCCTTACCTCCCTCTACCTCAATTAAAAGGAGCTCTGGTAGCGTAGTGGTTACGAATCGGGCTGCGAACCTTAAGATCAGCGGTTCGAAACTACCAGCTGCTCCGCGGGAGAAAGATGAGGCTTTCTACTCCCGTAAAGATTTACACCCTCGGAAACCCTATACAGGGTCGCTATGGGTCGGAACCGACTCAATGGCACATAACAACAACAACCTCAATTAATATTTAAGGAGAAATGGAAGCCAATCATATAACTTTTTCCACAACGTTTCATTTCCTTGAAGATGACGACAGAACTCTTACCATCATTTTGTTCCTCCACAAAGTTCTCAAACTCATTCCTTTGTTCCTCATAATACTCTCTCTGCAGCTCATCAGCCCGCAGCCTCTGATGGTTCTCCGCTGGGAAAGGGAAAGAGACAAGAGTTGCTCACCGGAAACGCATGCACGGAGCTGATAACAATCATTTGCTTGAGAAGTTTAATCTGACTGCCGGAGATTGTGAGGATTTAAGGGTGAGGAATTTCTGGAAAGGGTTTACTTAAAAACTTGATTTGGGGTAGTGAAAAGCTTTGGAAATGTGAAGGGGCTTCAAAAAGTTCATGGGAAAATGGAATTGAAAGCTAGTAGAACTTTTCCTTGAACTTTTTGAAGGCCCCTCATAATGTTGTTGGTTGCAAAAACAAAAGTCAAATTGAAGGACCTATGAGATCCTTTGATCCAACCATCTCATTTTATGAATGGGAAGACAGACATGTCAAAAGATGAAATGATTTAGAGGAGACTCCACTAACATAAAGTTAGTAGTATCCAAGCATATGAGGCCAGTTACAAACTGGAAATCTGATGATTAGAAATGAATTCCATGAGGGAATAATCTAATGTAAAGTTAACTTTACATTAATTAATTAGTATCTTCAAGTTTATTCTATATTATTGAGCATTTGTTACTGAACATTCCTGCAGTTGGAATAAAAAGGCAAGCAGGGAAGAGTCTGTCTTTAAATTTAGGAGGCTTAAAGTCCTTTTAAAGGGGAAAGAGATAAAACCAGTTGAACCAAGCTCTCTGGATGCTCTGATAGAAATCTATGCAGGGCACAATGAGGATGTGTGGTGGGCAGGCCCCAAGAGGGCCCCCAGTGGTCTCCACCCTCTCATATTAATGTCTTGTGTAGTCCCCTCTCCTAGAGTTGGGGTTGGATCTATGATAGAGATGCAGCAAAAATAATAGGATGTTACTTAAGTTTCAAAGCAAGACTGTGTTTTCTCTCTCTCTCTTTCTCCATCTCCTATTCTCTTGCTTTAACTCCCAGGGAAGTTAGCTGCCTTGTTGTCATCTATCTGTGGAGAGGCTCACAGATCAGACCTTATGTCCTTCACCAATGTCACTGAGAAACTGAGGCCTGCCTAGAACCGTGTGAATGAGCTTGACAGAGAATCTCCCCGAGTGAAGCCTTGGGAAATCTGAAGAATCTGCTAGAACCTTGGCTGCAACCCTATGAGAAACCTGAGTCTGAGGCCCCAGCTTCCTGACCATATACACAGGGAGGCCATAGATTGTTGCTTTGAGCTGCTAAGTTTGGAGATAATTTGTTTCACAGCAGTAAGCCATGAGGGGATCGGACACCCTCCTGATGATGAATAATTCCTAAGACGGGTACCTGTAATTTTGTAGAGTCAACCCACGCCAGGTAACTTGGTTGTAAACATTTTTATGAGGAATCTCGAGTGCCACATTATAAAATTGCAGGTTTGTGTCTGTGGCTGGAAAAACTACCCCCAGTGAAACCTGGAAACTACTCCTGAGAACAAGTAAATATGGTGATTGTTCCTTGGCTGTTTGACATCAAATTTTAACTGACAATAAATAGCTTTTTGGTCAGAGGGAGCCACCCTTGAATGACCACATTACACCTCATCAGTCAGTGCAGCTGTCTCACACATGCTATGATGTAGCCTGAGAAATCTCTTTCCATTTTAAATGTTTGTTGTTTTTGTTAAGTGCCACTGAGTCGGTTCTGACTCATAGCGACACTGTAGAGGGTTTCCAAGGAGCAGTTGGTGGGTTTGAACTGCCGACCTTGCTGTTAGCAGTCCGATGCTTATCCGACAGTGCAGTCAGTGCCAGGACATTTAAATGTTTATAGATATAGAATAAATCCATTTCCAGGATTCATCATTTTCACCCCAAAATCTTTACATTGACCTCTTCAGTCTGAGGGTCATGGTTTTCTAGAGGAAATGACTTCAAATGCTCTAACAAAAATGAAAATTGAAAGAAGTTGCCATGGAGTCAGTTCCAACACATGGTGTCCCCACATGTGTCAGAGTAGAAGCGTGCGTCACAGGGTCCCCGCGTGCGTCAGAGTAGAACTGTGCACCACAGTGACCCCGCGTGTGTCAGAGTAGAAGTGTGCGTCACAGGGACCCCGCGTGTGTCAGAGTAGAATTGTGCGTCACAGGGTTTTCCATGGCTGGTCTTTGGAAGTAGGTCGCTAGACCTCTCTTTTGAAGCGCCTCAGGGTGGATCCTAACCTCCACCCTTTGGGTTAGCAACTGAGCATGTTAACTGTATACCCAAGGACTCCTCTCACTGCTGTTGAGTCCATTCCGGTTCATGGTGATCCTATAGGACAGAGTAGAACTGCTCTATAGGGTTTCCCAGGTTGGTGGGTTTGAACCATTGACCTTTTGGTTAGCAGCCCAAAACTTAACCTATTGAGTCACTAGGGCTCCTCAGAGATTCCTGTTGTTGTTTAGTGCCATCTAGTCGATTACCACTCATTAGGACCCTGTAAAGGGTTTCCACTTGAACAGCTGACCTTGCAGTTCAAAGCTTGCAGTCAAGTACTTATCCTACAGTGCCACATCGGGGATTCCTACAGCTCTCTAATTCAGAGGTATTTCTTTAACCTGTGTTTCAAATGGGAAAACCCAGGAAGGCATGTAGGTCATGCTGGTTTAGGGTAGCTGGTGCAGGAAGAACTAGCTCCCGAGAATACCTCACATTCCTGTGGTATGATTACCTTCACATGAATGGGGGCGGGGGAGACCCCGGTGCTATCATTGCCTCTGCCAACCCATGTTTGATGAGAAAAGTAAAGAAACATGGCAGCCAGTAATCTTCTCCCTCACCCCACATTACAGTGGTGCTGGGAGAACTAACAAAAGGTATTTGTCTGCTAGACAGTAATACTGTAAACCATCACAAATTCTACTTGCAATTTAGGAGCTTATACTAATAAGCAAACTATAAAAATAGTAGTTGTTATTGTTAATTGCCACTGATTCTATTCTAATTCATGGAGACTCCATATATGCAGCATGGAACTGCTCCACAGGGCTTTCAAGGTTGTGACCTTCTGGAGCAAATTACCAGGCTTGTCCTCTGAGGTGTGTATCTGATAGGTTCAAACCACCAAACTTGGGTTAGTAGGCCATCTGTACTTAACCGTGTGTACCGCCCTGGTGCAGGTGTGCCAGTGCGTCAGTTCCAACTCATAGGAACACTGTATAGTGACTAGTGAGTTGGAAACATCAACTTGCAGTCCAGTGCATTATCCTGCAATGGGGATGGAAAATGTTTCTTAAGGAATTAGTGGTGGCCCATTCAGCACCTTCTTCCTAAATCCTAAGTCCCCTTCCCCTTACTGCAGCTTTCTGGTGTCAGGAGCAATAATGGCGCTCGCTGTTGAACGTAAGGGAATGAATGAGGCCAAGCAAGGTGTGTTCGGGGCCTGTAGTAGAGTGTGGGAGCCTGGAATCCAAGACCATATTCCCAGCTTTATCCCTAACGAGGTGATCTTCTTTGGGTCAGTGTACCTCTCTGAGCCTGAATCCTCTCCTGGGAAATGTGTGAGTGTGAGGAGTGTGGAATGGGAAGGGATTACAGTCCTAGTCACTTCTGCCACCCTCAAGTTTCCTACAATTGCGGCAGAAGTCTGTGAAGAAACATGGATTTGCTGAAGAAATCCACACTCAATCCAGTTCACAGACAACTTGATTTTTTTAAATCTGCTAACTAGTAGTATGGAGTCCTGGTATGGCACTGTAGGATAGCATTGGACTGCTAATCAGCCACTCCTCAGAAGCCCTGTACAGGGTCTCTATGAGTCAGAACTGACTCAATGGCACATAACAACCACAACACAGTAATCCAAAGAGGAGCACTATGGCTCAGTAGAATAAGCACTGGGCTGCTAACTACAAGATTGGCGGTTTGACCCTACCAACCACTCCAAGAGAGAAAAAGAAATTTTCTGCTCCCACCAAAGATTTATAGTCCTGGAATCCCTATACAGGAAGTTTATGAGTCGGAACTGATTTGATAATGACACTTACGAGTTCTGGTGTGGCACTATGGGTTAATGTGCCAGACTGCAAAGCTGTTTGAACTGCAAGGTCGGTGGTTCAAGCTCACCAGCTTCTCCTCAGAAACCCTATACAGTGTTGCTATGGGTCAGAACTGACTCAACAGCACTTAACAACAATAAGGTCATCTAGAAAGCATACAATCTTCTTAAGTTGCCTTTTTGGAGGTGCCTCAAATTAAACCTTTGATTCAGCATTGAAAAGAAAAAAATTAATTCTCAGGACAGGATGGCATTGTTACATGAGGCATCCTAAGCATAGTATATATCCCTTCTCAAGAACATGCTTCTTATCAAATTAGTTCCATCTTGCATCTTAAAGAAACTTGAGCCTTTCCCCAGGAGCTTAAAGATGTCAGATGCCTGTTTCCTGGTTCCAGATTCAAATTTATTGAAGTTACCTTTTGTCCCGTAAGCAACCTGAGAGCTGATTGGGCATCATCCACCTGCTCACCCACAGGGATGGACTAGGTGACAGCAGAGTGCACTCCTGGACAATCTCAGGTGTCACCAGGCTGTCCTGGCTCTCCCACGACTACTGAGGTTTGCCTCACACTCTGAGCTTCTGGAGAACACAATGAACCAAGCAACCTCAGGCTTCAACTCTCACTGCACTGTTCTGAGGATGGAAAATCCTTGACTCTCCTCAACTCATGTCTGCTTCCCCACTGGAAGACAGCCAGCAGGTTGATTCCCTGATTTCAATCAAGAACTATTCAACCTCCATCACGGTTTTCTCAGTGCTTTTGAAATCCAAAAGTTTGCCAACTTTTAAATCTAAAGTTGTGTGAGGTCTGGCAATTTTCCTACTATGATTATACTTACCCAATTTTTCCTTTTAAAAAGGAATTTTATCTCCAAGTATTTCATTTCCAACCTCCCCCATCATTTGAAAACAGTCCTGTTATTTTTGCTGAGCATCTGCCATGTGAGCATTACCTTGCTGGTGTGTTGAGGGAGACAAAGAGTTTATTCATGCACTAGCATAATGGATCAAGCCACAGCTCAGGGACAGTCAGCACTCTTGGAAGAATGCAATTCAGGGTAGAAAACTTAAATGCCTTCAAGGGTCAGGCAAGTCACAGCTGTGTGACTCCATTCCACAAATTTGAAAACCTTGCCCAAGTGCATTTAAAATGAAAAATTTACTAAACACTGCTGGCTGAACATAGGTTTCTCAGAGGGGTCTAAATAAGTAAGCCAGGGCCCAGAGAGAGGAAGTGACTGACCCAAGGCCATTCAGCACTAAAGCCCAGTGTTTATACCAGTTCTGGATGCTCTTTCTCTCGTTGTATCCTGTCCACATGGAATAATGTTGCTCTTGTGCTCTTATGTACTGTGGTTGTTACTGTTGTTGGTAAGTGCCATTGAGTCCGTTTCCATTCATAGCAACCATGTGTAAGGTTTCCAAGAAGCAGCTGGTGGGTTTGAACCACTGACCCTGATAATCAAACCAACCCTGTGGTTCAGCGCATTATTCTACAACACTACCCCAGGACTCCTGTACTATGGTTAGTACCCAAAAAAGTAGATGCACATAAATAATTTGTTTCCTCCAGACTAGAATATGTATTTTCTCCTTTGCATTTTTAACTTTCTGAAATTAGAATGTACTTTAGAATTGGTGGGTACATTTGCTATGAAGTCCTTGCATGGTACAAACACTTCACATGCTCTCAGCTGCTAACTGAAAGACTAGAGGTTTGTGTTCACCTCATAAGGTGAACCTTGGAAAAAAGGCCTGGAGATGTACTTCTGAAAAATCAGTATTTGGTGTGTCATTATTGTTTTCTGTGCCTTACCCAAAAATGTCTTAAGAAAAGATATGACTTACAAACAAAGAAATGTGTCATTTGCCATTAAGAGCTATAGAAACTTGGATACCTGGGGGCCTACGCTTAACCCTCAGCCCCCGTCCTTGCCCTCCAGCCAGACCAACTGTGGGAGCAGGAAGAAACCGCAGCTATAAGCAGGAGAGCAGAATCCACACACTGCCAGCATCCTTACCATTGACCTCATCTAGGGATTTGGGGGACCTCCTGTTGCGCTTCTTGAGGAAATTTGAAGCATCTGATTCCTTTGTGAAAATCTTCTGTTTGGCACCTAAAAACCCAGACAAGCTGTCACTGCCAGTACAGAGGATCCTGGATGCTGAGGAGCTGGCTCCACCTGCCCTGCCCCGTGGTCCCTGCACTCACCTTCCTGGTCCTCTTCTGCACCCACTGGCCGGGTGCCCACCGACACACTGGTACCTTCCTGTAGCACTATGGGATGAGAGCATGGAGTGAGGGTCAGCCTCACGTTCTAAGCCAAGCCTTTACCATGACCTGGGCTAGAACTGTCCATTCTGAGCTCTGGAACTTGCCAGGCTCCATGTATCCCTCATACAAGTCATAAAACCAAGTTATAGGCAAGTTGTGTTTCCCTATACAGGGGGCTTCAAAACGTTTGAATGAAAGTATCTTCTTATTCCATTTTTCTACTAACTTTTTAAAGCCATCTCATATTGTATCTTACACACACACACAGCACAACTTAGTACTGCTGTCTTAGAAATACGTATGCCCCTTTTCTACCTGGGCCACCTGGCCAAGCACTTACCTAATACCAGTCTGTCCTTGACCCTCCCCATACTCACAAGACAGAAATACAATGGCCGAGAGACAGGAGAGGAAGAGGATCTGTCTCCAAGTCATCTTTGTAGAGTCAGAAGCTTGCTCCAAACACCACAGGACAGGCAAGTCCTTCTGCAGACCCAGATGCTGCTCAGCCAGAAGAGAGGGAGGGGAGGAGAGAGGCAGGAGGCTGGGATGCCACTAGGGGGGAAAGTGGGAGGGGTCCCAGCTGCAGCTTCCATTGGCTGCTCCTCACTGGAACACCAGAGAGTTTTTTGGCGACTCTACAGAAACAGAATTTGTCATTGGGACCTCTGGCTGGGACAGTTTAGAAGTGGCCTCTCCAAGGGCCACACCTAAGAAGTGATCTTTGAGACTGTCTAGTCTGAGAGTTAGGATTGAAAGACCAAGGGTTTCCTTCAAAGAGCTCCTTGCATCAACTTCAAGGAGATTAGGACTCTTGTCCCTCAAAGCTGAAGTGTGTGTGTATGTGGGGGGAAGATGGAAGGACCACATGGCTGGAACACTTACCTCAGAGTGACACAGGGACACATGGGGCATTCTTAAGGCAATTAGAGTACGCCTCGCCCTGGTCAATTTCCCTCCAGTTGGTGCTCACTTTCAAACAAGCGCAGAGTCCTAGGTCTGGAGACCTGAGGCCCGTTAAAGATACAGAAAAAAGAACCCATCAATTTTCCACTGGGGGAAGGGAGAGAGCACAACATTTGAAAAACCCATAGCATGAAGGCAGATTCTACAAAAAGTGGAAATGTGTTTCTAGAAATGGGAACACTAATTAAATCTGAGCTTCCTGGGGCCATCAGAACATAGTCTCTATGAATATGTGTTTCTGATATTGTAATTTATTATGACTCATCATCAACTCTGTGTTACCTGCTAAAGAACTGGACTTCTGGCATCATTTAGATTTGGCATCACTCAACCTAGAACGCAGCCCACATTCATCTGAACTTCACCTTTCATAAGTCTGGTGTTTTATTATTATTATTATTATTATGCCTTTAACAAAGAAATGTATTCTCTCACAGTTCAAGAAGCTAGAAGTCTACATTCAGAGTGCTGGCTCTAAGGGGAGACTTTCTCTCTTTGTAGGCTCTGGAGAAAAGTTCTTGTCTCCTTTCAGCATCTGGAGACCCAGCATTCCACTAAGATCTCTATGCATATTGGCATCAGTTTTCCCTGGATCTAGTTGCTTCACAGTCCAGGGATTCCAGGTCCAAAAGACACACTCCATTCCTGGCTTTTGGTGGAAATAAGTCCCTCCAAGTCTGGCATTTTAACAACCTACATGTATTTGGGCCACTGGCCAGGAAAAGGATGGTCATGGCAGAAAAGTAACAAAAGCAAACAAAAGAAACACTCTGGTTTCCAGTTTAAGAACGTGCCACCAGCATCTGTGCTTGTTCTTACTGGTGGGGAGCCATGTAGGGCTCCCCCGTGAGCATCAGCCAACCTGAGCATTTGACAGGTGAGGCCACAGTGTTACTGACCCAAGTTAGCCTCTTTGCATAAGGACACATCAGCAAGGAGGATCTACCAGACTGACTAGCTGTCACCTGAATGAGGAAAGAACAAGGAACGGAGTGATTCTGATGGATTGATGCACCTGTGATATCCTTGAAACCCTACTTCCGTCTGCTGCCTTTTAAATTGAGTTTGGCGTAACAACAAATATTTATTGAACACCTACTCTAAGTCAGGTACCTACGCTAGATAAAGCTGTCCATCTTTTCCAAAGTACTTCTACCAAAATCTGTACCCTATATTCCATGCAGAAAGGCCTGGAGAAAATGACAGTAGATCCAGAATTCACTGAATGGAGGCAGGAAAGAAGGCTTGACATGGAAATTAGGCTTAGAGCTAAAAAAATTAACTTACATTTATTCTATACTTAATAAATGGTATTCTGATATGACTATCTGCTACATGGATCTGTTTCAAGGAACTGATCTGACTGTAGTTAAATTCCAAGTATGATCTCTCAGTCCTTTCAGAATTTTCTTTCCTAAATCCATTGACTTCCACACTTTCCACACCTTTACACCTTCAGCACTTCCTTCTCTTAGGGCTGCTCACCATGGCTGGTTGTGCTGCTGAAGTGGCCTCCTTGTAACATTATGTTGTTGTTGTAAAGTGCTGTTGAGTCTATCCCGACTCATAGAGACCCTATATAGGGTTTCTGAGAAGCAACTGGGGAACTTGAACCAGCTGACTTTACAGTTCAAACCGACCTTGCAGTCTAGCACATTAACTCACAGCACCACACCAGGACTCCTGTAACATTATACCCCACAGTATAACAAGCCACACCATATCAAGGCCCAGGCACAAGTCTAGTGGCTGTGGGTACATGGAAAGAGTACTAGATTTGATGTCAAAGGATGAGGTTTGAATCCCACGAGTACCACAAACTTGATTTCTCCAACATATCCTTCAAACATCTTCTTCTTTCTGTTTCTCCTCCTCAGTGAATGGTCTCCCCAATCATCTACCCAGTTACCCAAACTAGAACCTTGGGAGTTATCCAAGATGCATGCCTCCCAACCCCTGCCTTCCCCTTATCTAATGGTATATTGTTAAGTCCTATTGATTCTACTTCTTAAGTCCTTTTCAATGCTCTTCATCCCCTCATTCGTGCTTTACCCACCTGTTCAGACATGTATGGCAGCAGATTTCTCTAAGTCTCTCTGCTTTAGTCTAATCCTGTCCACCCCTCCCAACATTTAAAGATTGTCTTCCTGAGGTGGGGGTTTTGCTGCCCTGCTTAAAATCATTCAGTTGCTCACTCTTTTTTCATGACAGCAAACACTTAACACAGCACTCACTGCATACCAGGTACCATTCTAAGGACTTTAGACACATTAATCGTTTATCAATCTATGTAACAAAGAAGGAAATTAGGATGCTATGAGGTAAAATGACTTGTCCAACAAGTCCAGAGATGAACTTGGGCAATCTGGCCCCATGGTCTGTGCCTTTAAAAGATAAAGGTCATACTCCTTCCCATGGCTTAAGCCCTGCCTATGTCTAGTCCTTCTAAGTGCTCTCCTAGGCTCTGGATTACTTAATGCCCTGAAGCTCCTCAAAGAGGCCTCAGTCTTGAACACAGTACGATCATGTGATGCAGTTACTCCACTCTTAGGTGCATATGCAGGAGATTGAAAGCAGTGATACCACTAGAACGCAAGCACATAAGTGATTATTTCAGTACTATTGACAATAGCCAAAAGATAGAAAACAATCTGAACATCCATCAACAGATGAATGGATGAGCCAATATGGTTTATTTCTACACTAACCTATTTCTCAGTCCTAAAGAAAGCTGTAGTCCTGGTGTATACCACAACATAGATGAACCTTGAAAATATCATGCTGTATAAAGTAAGTCTGTTACAAAAGAAAAAATACTGTATCGTCTCACATATGAAATAAGCAAATATATAGAAATCAAAGCTGATTAGTGAATAGGAGGAAAGGGATTTTGGCTCAGGGACAGTGAGTTTATGTTAAAGGTTGAAGAGTGATTTGGAAAAATATAATGAGAATGGTTGTACAACTTAAATAAGGTAACCAATGCCACTGAATTGTTGTTGTTATGTGCCGTGGAGTTGGTTCCGACTCATAATGACCCTGCACAGGGTTTCCGAGGCTGTAAACCTTTAGGGGAGCAGAAAGTCTCATCTTTCTCCCATGGAATGGCTGGTAGTTTCGAACTGCCAACCTTGAGGTTAGCAGCCTGTATCGTAACCACTATGCTACCAGAGCGCCTTTGTTTAATTGGTATATAGTCTATTGTGCATATTCTTACCACAATAAAAAAAGGAAATGACAACAACAAAAATTAAAGGCCTCACTCTTCTGAGTCTGTTGCCAAAGCCTTCCATTTTAGTGGGGGTTGAGAAATCTTGTCCTTCAAGACACATCTCAGCCATCACCTTTGGAGTCTTTTAGGCCATCCTGCCCTCTTTTCTGGCCCCTATAAATGAATTGCTTAAAGTTGGAATCTATGGAGGCCTCGTGCGATGCCATAGGATAAGCACAAAACTGCAAGGTCAGTTTGAACTGCAAAATGGTGGTTCAAACTCACCAGCCACTCCTCGGAAACCCTATACAGGGTTGCTATGAGTTGGAACTGACTTGAGGCACTTGACAACAATAACATATGTATATATGTATGTAACAGTTATGATTGAGATATAATTCACATACTTTACAATTCACCCATTTAAAGTGTACAATTCAATGGTTTTCACTATATTTACAAAGTTGTATTTTTACAAACCATTGTTAAAATCACTTTTGAACATGTTCATCACCATCCAATAGAATTTTATTTATCTATTTATCATTTGATGGACGTTTGAGTTATTTCTACTTTGGGACTATTCTAAATAATATTGATATGAGCATTTATATACACACTTTTTTGTGGGGACATTTGTTTTCATTTCTCTGGCATATACCTATGGTTATATGGTGGAACTGCTGGTTATGACATAATGCCATGCTTAACTTTTTGAGAAATTCTCACATTATATTTTTAAAGTTCATTTACACATCTATTCCCTTCAGAACAGATCTTTGAGGGGAAGTTTCAACCTTACTCACACCTAATACAGGGCCTTGCACCAACTACATGTTTCATAATGTTTGCTGAATTCATCAGTGAAATACTGTTGGATGAGGACATTCGAAAGAAAGAAAGAAAAAGCTATGGACTCATTTCAGTGGGCTATTCATAAGAAGGAATCCAAACAGGGAACTGAAATTTCCAAATTTATGTATCAGTGGGTTTGGATACTTCTGAAACCACTGGATACATACAGAAATCCCACTGGGGATTTCTGAAGCATTTATGAAGGACTATCTTAGAAGGCTTTGACTCAACCCACAACCTGACCCATCAAGGACTAGAGGCCTAGTTCATTTAAGTGACAATGACCCTTAAGGGTAGTGTGTCCATACAAATGAGGTCCCTACATGCCATGGCTTAACCATGGTATTCTGAAATAAACATATAAAACCCAAGTTTAAATATATTTATTTCCCATACCTAATAT